AAGGAATGTGGCCATATGTGTTCAGGCAGAATCACATTTAGATCTACTTGACAGAGAAATGCCATCCCAGCAGCAACTTAATTGTGGCTCAGAACATGAGCTACAAAAGCTGCAAAACATAGAATAATACTATTTGTGAAGAATAATGTGATAATTTAATCAACATAATAATATCATGAGTGGCATAGAACTATAACATCAACAACAGACACAGAGGCATCACATTCTCCTATAGTTATAAATTATAGATCTAGTGACCACTAAGAAAAGAAATTGTTAAGTTTTTCTTCCTCTCAATTTTATGCTTTCCTCTAATTAATATTAGGCCTACTTTATTGAAGGGGTCTCATACTCATAGTCATAGAGTCTAGTATTATTGTTCTTTTTATTGGTTATAGGCATTCCAGAATCCATGGATTTAACAGCTTACCCCAGTTAACCTTTCCTGTGACATGCATTCTACGCTTTGTTTTATTTTGATTTCCAAATGAAATTCATTTTTTAAAATGTAGGCCTCTGCAGCTGTTTAAGTATAGGCGCCTGTGTTAATAAACACAATGTGATGAGGTTTCATTTCTATTATTCTTTATATATACACATACTTTTAACAAAATAGCTTATTCTTGGCTAGATAAATAACCAAGATTTAAAAAAAAAATTCTTGTGAAAATGATGTTTGAGATTGAGGAATTTCCACATTGTAAAAGAGCATGAGCGTTTCGTTAGCATTTTCCAAAATGGCCGCCCCCTTGACTCGACTAGATCCAGTCCCCATGTAGGCTATGAATCAAGTTGCATGATAGGCCTAGTGTGTCTCAGCCAATTCCCAGGCAAGTAGTCAAGAGTCGCTCTTCGGCCATTCGCCCACCAGGCCACCATTAGATCTAGAGATCTAGATCTGGGTCTAGATCTAGATCTAGATTCTAGATCTAGAATCTAAATCTAGACCGAACTGCACACTCTTGGTTGGGGGCACAACAAAATCTAGATCTATATCTAGATACGTTTATTCATTAAATACTCTCTCTCTCTCTCTCTCTCTCTCTCTCTCTCTCTCTCTCTCTCTCTCTCTTTCTCTCGGCTAAAATAAATTAATTATAGTAACACAAGATAAATCCAATCACTACCCGAGATGATCAGTAAGTAGGCCTAGTAGCCTTGCATAGTAACCAATGTAAACTACGTCTCGCTCAGCGAGCCAATCACAATCCAACATTTTTGGGGTCCACCTAGACACCATGACTACGTAGACCCCAATCAGGGAGTACGTAGACACTTCCTAATCATATATAGTGAGGTGCAAAAGAAATGTGATTTTTCATGTTGTGGTAACTGCCCAATGTAGATTTCGTAGCTGTGTGATATGAACTCATATCACTCACCGCTGGCCTCGAGCGTCTTGATTGGGCATTTTTGAGCATTGCAAAGATGTCATTGGCTGCGTAAGCAATACACAAATCACGAGTCATCAGTCACCACAGGGAAACACTTGCAACTTGTCGTGAGAAGTGAGTTTATTCTCACTCAGTCCATGGCGTATGCCTATAAAATCCACGCCTCAAAATGTTACATTCATATCGAAACAGACGAGCTACAGAAATGCCAAGGTCATCAAGGGAAAACAGAGAAAGCGCTGTCGGACGACTGGCGGTCGGTGAGTGAGTGAAACAGGTGTCCCAGGTTTTTGGTGTCCACTCAAGCACCATTCATCACCTTCGGAACCGATTACAAGCGACAGCGACCACAGCAGATCGACCAAGAAGCGTAAGACTAATGGTGACAACTCCGGCCTATGATCGTGTCATTGTTCGTTGGCACCGCCGCGATCCATTTCTGTAGGCTGCAGAGATTGCCAGAACTACAAGGGGAACGACTGGACGCCAGTTTAGCCGCTGGACTGTGTCACGGAGGTAATTGACTGCTGGTCTTCAAAGCAGGTGTCCTTACCAGGGAGCTGTCCTAACACCAAGGCATCCACAACAAAGGCTAGAGTAGGCGCATGAGCATATCAATTAGCGGAACGCACAGTGGAGGAGAGTCCTCTATAGAGATGAAAGCAGGTTCTTCGTCGATCCAACGAATGGCCGTGTCCGTGTGTGGCGGAGAGATACGACTCGCTACAACGACAACAACATTCTGGAGCGTGACCCCTGGGGAGGCGAGGGCGTGATGATATGGGGAGCCATGGCGTTGAATCATAAAGTGGGATCTCTCATCTTCCGGAACATTGGTCCCGGACGTGGAAACGGCGTCACGGCTCAGAGCAGCTACATTGCACTAGTCTTGGTACCTCATGTGGTGCCCTTTCTACAGAGGCATCCTAACTTCCTGTAACAACAAGACAACGCACGACAATATACCGCACGTGCTGTCCAGAACTTCTCGGCCCAGAACAATGTCAATTTATTGGCACACCCACCTCGACCACCTGACTTGAACCCTATTGAACATTTGTGGGACGTGATCCAAAGACAGCTAAACCAGAAGCAGCCACTGCCTCGAACAGCAGCCTAGTTGACTGCAGCCATCATCTAAATCTTTGATGGCATCCAAAATGGCCTGATCAACCGTTTGATTAACTCTATGAACAGAAAATGTCTCCCTGTAATCGCTGCACGTAGGCCATACGGGTTACTAAGTGTGCTCACAAAGGTCAAGGTCAACATGAGCTCATATGAATGTGTTGGGCCCTCAGTTCATATCAGCTGTCACTCAAAAAGTGTGAAAAGTTTCAGTTAATAAATACAACAAATAACTTGAAACCTGTGTGTTGCATTTTGTCAACCATTTTGTTGTAATAAAAGCTCGTGTTTTTTGGCACCCCAGTATACAGCGTAAGGTTTTTTAAAAATTGGTAAAAATTGCCCAAAAGGAGGAAAAAGAATTTATTAATTTGACAGGCACCTGATTTTATCACCATACCAGCTATACTATTATCTCTAAACCTGTAACGTACGACGCAATACTTCCAGTCCAGGACAAAACAGAGCCAACAAGGTTAAAGGATTTTATCTCAGTTCTAATCCCCTGCCGCTGTCTTTTTCAATACCACTCTCAATTCAGTGTGAAACTTTCAGCCTTTCAGTTTTGAAAAAATCATGTCAATCTTCCCCACCCCTCCGATCCCCGCCCCCCTACTCATTTACACAGACGCAGACACATAGACACACAGGCACACACCCACACACACACACACCCACACACACACACACACACACACACACACACACACACACACACACACACACAATCACTCACACATATACACACACATATGTGCACCTCCAGGTTCATTATACTCCATGACCTAATAAGTTAATAAAAACAAGGGGTGCCAGATTTTGGCCTTCAGAGAATAAGAAAAACGATATGCTCAACAGCATACGTGTTTTCATTGTATAGCATTTTTGCCAAGCCTAATATTGGGTGATTTAGGTTTTACAGGTTTTAGCCATGGGCATTTGATGGGATAGAAGAGAATTCGCAACCAAAGTCACAACTCAACGAATAAGATCAATCCAAAACACTGCATCTATTGGGTTGGGGTTGTTTTGGGTTGTTGTTTTTTTTGGCTGAGGGAGTTGTTTTTTCCGTGTACCCCTCATAATTTGATTAGCTTTGCAAATGGCGTCATTAAATTACGAGCGAGTGTTGATGGAGTATTTAAAAAAAGATAAAAAAATTGCTCATTTCCTCTCCTGTTACACCCCTTCAGTTAAAAAAAAATGTGATAAAATAATCTTAGAATCTCACAACTTAGAATCTCACATCTCAGAGCGATACAGAGAGAAAGGGAGAGAGAGAGAGAGAGAGAGAGAGAGAGAGAGAGAGAGAGAGAGAGAGAGAAACAGAGAGAGATGTTGAAAAGAGAGTTAAAGACGGAGAGTGTGAGCACAGGAATAATATATAGGGAAAGGGTGACGTCTTAGAGCAAGAAGAGACAGTTCACTAAAGAAGGGCCAACGTCAATCTACTTTGAAGTATGAACAAAAATTTTGAGCACGGTTTTTGAAAAAAAAAATTACACACCAAAAAAATTAATGTCCACCTTTTAGACGACCAAATTGCCTTTGATAAATTGTGCCATATATTGGGATTGTAATAGAATCATTAGTCTGTACGCCCAAACGGTTTCTCACACACAAACACACACGCACATACCCTCACATACCCTCACATACACACACACACACACACACACACACACATATATATATACATACACATACACACATACACACACACGCACACACACACACACACAAAGATGTATTAATAGTTTGACCTCCGTGAGTATTATGTCACGTGCCGATGCCCTCTGTAAATGTCCGACTATCATGGGCAGATGTGACACCCAGCCAGTCTATAGTGCACGGTCGTGCAGAGCAGCCCAAATTTTTTAAATGTTGTCTCATGTAAAGCTCTCACAAACAAAAAATAAAAGAAACCCGCAACAAGCACTAGCCAATTTTTTTTTTAAACTACGAGGTCCTCCCTGGCGCCATAAAAGCCATTACTGTGCCTATAGCGCCTTAAAACATCTACTATGGAATGCCGAAGTTCACGCGCTTTAACGAAACATAATATTGTGCTCAAGAGAATTGTGATTGGTTCATTGTCTTGCCACCATATTTGAAAATATGTCTTGCCCCGACTCTGTGACAGTGAACTTGAGCGAGGTGAACATAGAGTTAGTCAGGTCACCGTCTGTCGAGTTGTGTCTTTTAATGGTGTTTTAGTAGAGTGGTAAAAGTGTTATTTCTTGAATGTTCAGTTCCAATTGCAGATGAACGGAACTGATTTTTAGCTACAAATATTTGCAATTTTAGGAATCAAAGCGACAAATGAAAAGATTGAAAGTAAAAGCATTGGGGCCTCATCAACCCAACGATATTAACATTTTACACCATCCCATTTCCTATGCCCTTTACTATCTTCAACCTGCCATAAATTAATACATGTATTCTTATTGTGCATACCCACTGTTTATACCCAACAAGCACCCCGTAGAACTTACCCTCCAGAGGAAGAACGAGTCCCCCTTGAGCCTGACCGTACAGACGACGGTACGAGCATCTCTCGTATAAGTAATTACAGAACTAGCACAGGTGGTGCTAAGTCGGTGTTGGAACTAAAGCTGAGTGTTGGATATTATATATA